CCACCTGCCCTGGTGGTCACCTGAAGCCCTGCAGGTGTGGAGCCCGTGGCGGGAGGGTGCCTGGTGCCGGCACACAGGGGCTGCTGCTGTCCGTCTTGGGCACCTCGTCCCAGCCTCCCAGTCCTCCCTACCTCGAGGAGGCTGGCGGGTTCCTGGCAGGTCCAGCGCAAGCTCATCTATCAGCCAGGACCTGCCCTGGCCCGAGGGCTCAGTACCCTGTCTGTGTAGAAGGCCCCTTCGCCCACCCCGCTGCCCACCCAGATGGGGCCTCCAGGAGCTGGCCTGCAGGCCATCTGCCCTGTGGATCCCTGCGCTCTGCCCTGACCTACTCCAGTCTCTGCAGCACGATTGTCGAGAAACTGCATGGCAACCGCATGGCGACCCGCTCTGGAGCCGGCAGCTCAGATCCCGCTCTGCCCCTGGCCGGGCCCTTGGCTGGACACGCAGCAGGTGGCCATACCCCACGGGCCGAGCCGCAGCCACAACTGAGGGTGAGGCGGAGCAGTCCCAGTGCTGGGAGGCTGAGGGACGCGGCCTCTGGGGTGGGGAAAGCCAGGCCAAATGCCGTGGGGTGGGAGGTGCAGCCCTGCCAGGCCGGCCCACGTGGCAAGGCAGCAGGTTCGCATCTCGGTACGGCAGGCACACATGCCTGTGCTCGGGCGAGCTGTGGCGTGGCGTGGGGACCCAGCTGGTGCTCGCTCGCTCTCTCTCACTCGTATAGAAACACACTGAGAATACTGATCTGCTCCCGTGACCCTCCTGTGCGGGCCGGAGAGAGCCTGGTCCTACTTGTGACCAGGATCATGATGGAAGGGAGTGGCGATACCCGGCACTGCCTCACTGGGGCCTGCCCTCGAGGGCATGGACGCCCCGCTGGGCCGAGTGCCCCCGGGAGAGGACTGCGTGGCGGGCATGGGGCGGCCTCTGGTGTCCAAGAGAAGCTCTCAGCCCTCAGCCCACATGGGACCGATGACTGACGGCTTCAGCAGCCGGGAGAGCTGGGAGGAGATCACGCCCCAGCAGGAACCACCTGAAGCCGCAGGACCCGAACTCAGAGCTGAGCCTGTGGACCGGGTGGCCCCTCACGGCCAAAGTCTTTATTTATTATTTGGAGAGGTTTTCGCTATAGGGCGTGTGCACTCATCAGAAAGACAGAGACAGAGAGCAAGAAATCACCCCCCAGGGGGCATGGCCACGCCGCAGTCCCTTCTCCTCCATTCTCCTCTCGGGATCTTGGGCATGCACACGTGCCCAGCATGAGTTTAAGCCACCAGATCCGGGACTCGAACCGCGGCCGACTACGTGGGAGTCCAGTGATGTCACTATTATGCTGGCCCCACAGCCGAAATCTTAAGCAGCTAGTTGGGGGAATATTCTTGCACAGGGTTGTGGCAGAGGCCACGTGGGAGCCTGGGCCTCTGCCATGGAGTGCCAGCCACCCCCTGGCCCTAGTACTCAATGGCACTCTCCCGGGCCTTGCCTCCAGGTTCTGAGATAGGCAAGAGCCCCAGAGAGCCCGGCAGACCATGGGTCTGTCATGGAGTGCCAGCCACCCCCTGGCCCTAGTACTCAATGGCACTCTCCCGGGCCTTGCCTCCAGTTTCTGAGATAGGCAAGAGCCCCAGAGAGCCCGGCAGACCATGGGAGGCAGGGAGTGCTAGCCCCGCTCAGGAGCCACCAGGGGCGTAGCAGTTCCTTCTCCAGAGGCTTCCACGTCCCCTAAGTGGGTGAGCCAACCAACCACGGGGGACACACGGCATGTGGTGGGCCAGGGGGG